AAGAAAGTCCTGCATATTTGTTTAATATGGACATTTAAGAACAAATCCTGGTGAAAATATTGGTTTCAAGATGCCTCTTTCTGTTACTTAATGCCAAGGTAATTGTATCCAGAGTATCTGGTTATACACCACGTTTCTAAGATTTTTAGGGCCAAGTACAATAACCTCAGTTTTATCTGAATTTAGAAGCAGAAACTTCAGAGGTCATCGAGGTTTTCATGTCTTTAAGACATTGCTAGCTAACTGGTGTGTGGCATCATATATAGAAATAGCTGAGTATCATCTGCATAGCATAAAAATGTATACTATGCCTTCTAATGATACTGCCTAAGGGACATATGAGCAATGTAAACAGAATTAGTCCTAGCAAGGAACCGTGTGGAAATCCATAATAAATGTTAGTGTGTGTATTTGTGTAAAGAAGACTCCTTATTTACATGAACAAAGTGGAGTCTATTAGACAGATATGATTCAACCCAATGCAACACACTACCTTTAATTCCCATGGCATGGATAGAAATACATTATTTATTGCAGTTTAACATGTAACCCGACTTATTTCTAACTAAGCTAGTTTCTCTGATCTGTTTGTGCAGTATATTTCCAGTACAGTATGCTTGAGTGTTGTTTTGAATGTGGACTCACAGGACCCTTTCGTAAACAACTCACTGGCCGGTGTGTAAAAGGTAATCCCTGCTGTGCAGAGGTGCTCAGGAAAATGTCAAACCAAATCCCTTTTCCCCATTTGGCCCTGCCATTCTCTCTCACTCACACGTGTTCCTGTCTGATCCTAATGTGCCTCATGTTTTCTTTAATCAGGCAATTCCCTGGTGTAGTTGTGCATGTGCACAGGTGTATTTGTATACATGTGTATATATGTGTGTGTGTGTGTGTGTGTGTGTGTGTGTGTGTGTGTGTGTGCGCGCGCACACACGTGTGTTTTGGGCATTAAACAGGTTGCTTTTTTGTATCCTGTACAAGAGAGCATGACCAATACCAGGCAGCTAATTACACCAGGCAAGAGGAGAGGGAGGGTGTGATTGCCATGGAAACCAGGTGGAGCGTGACTGCATGTAGAGCATGTAGATGGACACAGGAGGCTTTCATGTCAGGGGTTATTGGTTTGATGGACTGATCAGTGGTAAGTTATAGTAACTGAATGGGTGGTGGTGTATGTATTACTGTTTGAGGCTTTTCAGCCATATGCAAATTGTATGTGTTTGTTTCAATCGGTGGAGGAAGCAGAAAATGTCAATTGTCAGCTCAGATAAATGTTCCTCAAACGTGATGATCAAGGGTCACTGGTGAAGTGATGGATAGGCATTGATTGACTGGGTGAACCCAATAAAGTGAACAGAAATCGAGGGAGAGCACGCATGACCAGAAGTGAGGTGTTGCTGAAATCTTAGACGTGAATACAAAACACACAAACACAGCGTTTGATTGTTCCACTAGCTGACTGCTGACTGAACATTGATTGCTTGGTTGTCCACATCCTTCCTCCAGCTGGAAGAAAAACATCCATCTTCTCCTGCGTTGTAAGACCTTTGCTGGCTTTCATTTATCACTGCCTTACTTAGAATAAACTCTGTAATTAATGTGAAAATGCACCACTTCTTATTGCCTTCTTTCTTTTGCACTTTGTATATTAAATTGATTTTCCATCCTGCTTGTTGCCATTTTTCTTTTTAAATGAATTCAAGTGGAAACCATAAACACAAATGTATTAAAGGTTGCCACTTGACTTCATTTAGGTAGTAATATATTCAGATTTTTATGAATACACAATACTCTAGTACTAGAAATAGATATTCAGAATGGACACTAAGCTACTTGAGATACTTGGAAAAGTAAATTAGCACCAGATGCCCTTTCGCAAATATGTAATATTTAATCATGTCAATTTTACCCTCTTGGCATTTGTTAATTTAGTTGTATTGAAGTATCATGTATAGTATGCATACTTTTCATAATTAAAAACTGTAATTCCCCATAAAGGAAGTGCAGACCACTGCACCTGCTGAGGGGATTTTCCTGTTTGCTGTTGTTTATGTTTCCCTGTGGGTTATAACCCATACGTTTTTGCTTAACATAATGGGAAACTTGAAGAAAGTTCTCCCCAATACCACCAGCATTTAGCCTTCTCTAAAACACTTTTTGGATTTGAGACATTTGATATTTATTGTGTCCTCTTTAATTTGGTAACCTGTCTCTTTACTATGTTTTCTTTACTTCTTTGTCTTTCCCACCTTCTCATTGGCTATTCAGGCTTAAATATTTCCATCTCCCCCTGTGCAAGTATAGTCCCGACATTCCATCTATCTTTGTTAATTCAATGTGCTAACCACCACCTGTTGCTATTTCTTTGCTGTCTTGTTTTGCATTTTTTAAATGTACCTGTCAGTTCATGTTATATCCTGTGATATACCTTCTTGTTAAATTAAACTTTGTCTGCATCCATTTTGACCTGCATTTAGATCAATTCTAGAACCTTAATAACAAATGAAAGGCTTAAAAATCATGAAAGCACAAAAGCTGGAATGGTGGGAGAATGAAATGTGTATTGCTTGACTAGAGCAATTTTGCTGATACAGATCCATCAGATTCTGTGTGGACATTAAATAAGCACTGAACTATTTGAAAGCGCATCATAATAAACTTGAATCTTGGACCTTCAAGCTATTCTTAATAACACAATTTCTTTTGGATAATTTGGGATTGGATAATTCACTGGAGTTGTGAAAAGGTCAAAAACATGGCTCTGCTTTCCACACCTGTGTCCACAGAGAGACACTGACCACAAAGATGTCAAGGAGAATTTTAGATGAAGCTTGAGAAGAATACGTTTTTGTCATCCACAGTAGTCATGGCTGTTTAACATATTATCCATGTGAGATAGACAATGACCACCCTTCACACTGCATACTGAAATCTGACGGTTTTCATATTTTAAGGTGCTCTATTGATGTTTTAAACCAGGCGAAGAAGTCAGGACATTTATTGTGGACTGTTAGATCAATACTCTGGCTTTAAGTTGCTTTTTAAGTTGACATATTTGGTGACATTTTCAACTATGTAAGGAACTCAAACTGTTCTTCCAAGGAAAAGCAGTGACTGTATTTTATGTCCACAGTAAGACGGAAGCCACACTATGGAAGAGACAGTGGGAGGCTTCAGAGCAGCTCTGAGTTCTTTGAAAATAGGTGTGAATTTCTCAGTAAAGAGGAGGGTTAAATCCTGAATTCCCTGACAGATGTCATCTGAGAAACCTGCAAACCCTGAGGGGCCAACTCCAGGAGGACTTCTCTGTGCTCAGTGTGCAATCCAGCTTCATACAGAATCAATTTGCCCACCGTAATGGGCAAGTTTCCATTGTATGCAGCAGGACAGCCAGGTGGAATTGTTTTTGTGGTTCTGCTTTGAAATTGATATTTGTAACTTAAAACATACTGATCTGTCGTCAAGGCATTAATGTCTCTATTACCTTTTACTACCACTGGATTTTCAGCATTTGTCACTTTAAAGACAAAGTATACGAATAATCGAAATGTTGGGCCTGATCTCGCTGATGTCCATTCTGTAATATAACACAAACCCTGTAAGTGATTTGTGTCCAGTGTACTTTCTACAGGTGGTCTTTCAGAGACTAGAGTAAATCTTGTGTCAAAGGTAATATTTGGACTTTGGACTTTAATTGCCTTGTTTTATGGTTTTAAATGTCAGATATATGTGTTACACAGCAATTAGCCCAGCTGTGGTAGATTGTAAATGGTGTATACAAATGCATGTGTCAAAAGTGCTGGTTCAAATGACGTTTTCAGTTTGGGTTTTTGGGGTTTATATTAGCTTACATGTTGTAAAAATCTATACATAAAGATTTTTGACTTGGTGACTGAACGTTAAGTGCACAAAACACGTGGGCTACAGCGACTTCTTTTGACTCTCACTCAACTTTCTATTTATCATTATATCCTTTCTTTCACTAAGATAACAAGGATTAAAACATCTTTGAAAGACACATAATTGCCATCAATTCATGATATTGAGGCAAAAAAAAATTTCATGTCTTACAATGTTCCTACTTTCTTTATTTTCAAGACCCATTGCTTGAAACCATTTTTTATTCCATCCATTAAAGATGTAACATACCAAGAACACACACTGGCAGAGGAAATTTATTAAAAGCTTGAAAGACATTCACACAGGAATGCTTGGCTGCTGCTTTCCTGGGACTTTAACCGGCTGCTTTTTTCGATATTTACGAACACTTTGTTCACTCTTAGACATCCCTTTTTCCCAATGCATCTAAATTTTGGGTTTTCCACTTTAACCAAAGGATCAGTGTTGGCCACTTGTGTGTGCCTGGGTAGCATATTTTTAATATTTGAAATATCGTTTTTAGTTATAGTCATCTTCTTTGTGTGCTAATAAAACAAACAAAACAAAACCCACATTTTATAAAATACATACATCACATCATTGATGTATCCTGCAGTCATTGAATGTTTAACGACTTTCAACATCATACAGCCTGTCCCAGGCGTGGTGAGTCAGGCCTTGGCTGAAACAATGTCCTTCAACTGTATACCTTTGTTATTGCAGATGCACATTTTGGATGAGAGGATTTTCATGAGTGGGACTTATAACTAGATAACTGGAGCTACTGAGATTACAAGGGGTCCGTCCCAGTAGATTCATGTCTAAAGTTGGAGAAAAATATTCAAGGTTTGTTTCTGGTTTAAATTAAAGACGACCTGCCTTAATGTAAAACTTCTATACTTCTATTCGGCCTGACTATGTAAGCAGCTTTTTGTCATATGAAGCTAGTGTGAGTTGTTCCTTGAAAATCCTCGCATCACTAGCTGTTTGCTTTTAGCACCACTCGCCCTTTCCTGTTTGTCTTTCTCATCCTTTAACCATCCTTGCCCTGTACCCAAACTGTCTCATCTTCCTTCGTTCTCCACTGATTTAAGTTTCTTGTTTATTTTCTTCTGTTTCAGTTCGTTGCTCATCCGAACTGCCAGCAGCAACTGCTGACTATCTGGTATGAGAATCTGCCTGGCCTGAGGCAGCAGTCCATTGGTGTGAAGTGCTGGACAGTCCTGGGAGTAACTGTAGGCCTTCCATTCCTGGCTATTGCCTACTGGATAATGCCATGTAGCAAGGTATGAACAGATAGCTACATGCGCAAACACAATTGCAAACTACAGTTAAAATACACACACATATAGTTTAGGGAACTATAATTGCTGTATCTATGCACTATTGCTTCTCAGTAAAATATTATTTTCTATTCTTGTTCCACCTATTATTTGCAGCCAACTATAGTATTTCAAATTGCACTTGAAGTCTCATCATGCAGCGTATATAGGCTCATTACCCATCAGGAAACACAATTCCCAATGTTGTTCTTTGTTGCTCATATGACCTTACCACAAGTTGGGGAGAATCTAAAGTTTGCCCTGAGGTTGGAACGACAGCAAAGGCCTTAATATTAACTTAGGATTAGTTCATTTCAGGACATCTCAGACTCGCTTCTCAGCTCAACATTTAGGCTCAGCTTTTATTATTCTAATCTTAGCTTCATCATCATCATCTACTCTCAGACTGAGCAGAACTTGAAGTGTGACACAAAACACGTGACAGACTAGACAGGAAACAAGACACATAACCAAAGAGACATAGCTGAAACGAAAACTAGAATAAACCTCAACTAAATCTTAGCGAACAATAACACAAGAACTTACTATCATCAACTTAACACAAAAAAACAAAAATAAACTCAAAACGCTGGGTCGCAGACCCAGCCCCTGATAAAGTCATGTGAAAAAGAACGTACCTCTTTTAATTCTAAATGTTTTTAGGTGTCAGAACTTTTAAAATCGTCCGGTGCCCAGCAAGTCTTAAAATCAAGGACATTTTGGAAGTTTGTTTCATCTTGAGCATTGTTGTGTTTACACAGTGCCAAGGGGTAAAGACATCACCACTGATCTTAGAGATGCAATTGTTACTACCCATGAAGCTAAGACCCCAAGCATGTTATATATATGTTATATATATATATATATAAGCTCATGCAGTATAAAAAAGGTTTTCTTAAATTGTGTATAACATTACAGACAGATTTTTTTATATTCCCTAATTATTAACTAACAACCTGTATTCTATACAATTATCCTGAATATAAAAATACAATCCTAGGTTATACAGAATTATCACAAATAAACAATAAGCACTTAATATAGGTTTTTCCAATTTCTTAAGCTGTAGTCATCTTGATTCCACCTCATCTCTGCAGTTGTACCCTTTTTACAGACATTGTTGCTACAGACAATAATCCACTTTTTCCCTAAAATACGAAATATGGTTCTACTATAAATGACACAAACCTTATAACCTTGTTAGGGTATTTACAGGAATATATATGCACTAGACTCTAAAGATATGGCCAAATGAAATGTCAAAACTTACAGATTTACAGTTTCAGAACACAATATAGTAACTGTTTGATTATAGGGCATGTGGGACATTTTCTGACATTTTCTTCATTCTCATCAAGCAGATTGTATTTTCTAAAGTGACACAATATGACATCGGCCACACTCAGACACAGGAGCTGAGTAAGCGGTTATGCAAATCTTCTCATCAACCTGAATAATCCTGCACCTCATCATCACCAAGTGGTGTGTGTGTGTGTGTGTGTGTGTGTGTGTGTGTGTGTGTGTGTGTGTGTGTGTGTGTGTGTGTCTGCACTCAGGTTTGAGGACCTTTGAGCAGTTCATGGTAGGCGTGACTGATGAATTAATCATTTTGTAGACTAGAGAGTGAGAGCACCGGATGTTAGCCGTGCATGAGAAGCTGGAGAACCATAAAACTTAGAGGTTATGTCACGGTTCTGGGTCAGTTTGACCCAGTATTTTGAGTTGTCATGTTAGGTGTGTTTTTTGCATTATGGATTGTTTTCTTATTCTCTTGTAGTTTGTGTTCTGGTTCATGTTCAGTAGTTAGTTGTTCCCAGTAGAGTTTAGTTCATTCTCCGGTTGCCGTTTGTCTATTTATATTTCGTGTTCAATAAACCACCTTCACACCTTCGCTACTTCCTGCAATTGGATCCTCCTTTATTATTTCCACACGGCTCATCTCACTCGCCGTGACAGGTTATCCACCAATCATGAAGCACTAGTCGCAAAAAACACTTGTGTTATGTTAATGTGTGTGTTTCTGTGTGCGTATTCACATGTGTGCATATGTGTGGATGTATGATTACATCTAATTGTGAATCAATCAAATCATGACACTGCATGTGACTGCCTGACGTTTCGTGTCACGTGAGAGACAGCTGAGAAAAAGAAGCAGGGCAGAGAAGCAAATATGGGACGCACAGCTTATAGTTGTGCTGTTACTGTGTCTGTTGCTGTGTCACGTTTATTTATTTTTTTAATGTGCATGTTGTTTTAAGAGACCAGGGACATGTGTGATGTTGATAAAGCAGAACTACAGAGGGTAGAATAATAAAAGCAGCCTAATCAAAAAAAATAACCAAGAGACAAAACAGATGTTTATGCATGCTTTGTGACCATGTGACCGCAGCTCATTAGAAACAAAAAGTAGAATGGATTTGATAATGAAATAGATAAAGACAGTGTAAATCAGAACAAAAATACAGTTCGACAGACAAACGCAGAGAGAAAGCTTTGATGTGTTCTGGTTGATTGTGTTTAGTGTAGCCTCCTGCACCTGCAGCTAATCATCTAGTTCTTCTCATCTCATCTCATCTCATCAATTGCTTGTTTTTTACAGCCCATACTATGCCCCATTTTACAACACTACAACACACAATTATTAAAATCCCACATCATATTACATTTCATATCAGCCTGGGGCGATAAAGACAGTGTTTTTGTTCCTGTAACAGAAGTAGTAAGTCATTGAGAGCAGGCAGAAAAAACATGGATACTGTAATTGCTTTGAAAATCCTCTTCGGGTGAAAAATAGCAGCGATATGCTTCAGAAGTGATGAAAAGCAGATGTGCGATCAGAGATAGAATGCTTCTTATTGATTGAAGAGGTTAAAATATGGTGAGTGACGTGAAATTTTTCAGCCTTCCGCGAGTAACTGAAAATAGATAAAAAGTCAGAAAAAGAGAACAAGTGATGAAGAGGAAAATTGCCTTGGAGACTTGATGAACCAAGTTTCACATGTTAGTCAAGGATTCATTTGTATCACTAACTTTGCAGATTTATAGTGAAAAGGTAAGAGTACGTGTAAGGAAAGCTTATGATTCTGAAACTATGGTAAACCTCGTCCTTATTTTCACAGAGTATTTCAGGCATGACGAGGCTCTTTATTAATGATAATTATACCAACGATGACAATCAATTTGGCAATGATACGCTGACATTTCCAAATGCTACATGTTGCGCCGATATTAAGTAATTATTTTTTCATTAATTACTTTTCTGCAGTCCATCATCTACTTAATTGGCTGAAATATATTTTTGCATGCTATCTCTGACACAGCTGCCTGCGGTTTTAACATTTTGGACACACTTTGAGATTTTTTGTTTCCGTCCTAGCTTTTCTTGGCCTCCTTTTGTCTCATGGGAGATTCAAATCGAAGCCAGTACC